GTTTGGGGGCGGCGCGCGGCGTCAGGGGCTCTCGCGCTTCCCCCAACGCCCGCCTCTGCCCAGGCAGCGCCCTCCCCCTTCGGCCCTTTGTGCCGAGCTCGCCTCTCTGGCCATTGCAATGGCGGGGCGGAGGCTCTCGGCACGTGCTTCCTGTGCCCCATCCCTGGCCGCTTTCTGGAAACAAAATTCCCCCGTGGGAGGGGTCTCTGGCTCATTTGGGACTTATCCCCCCTCCCCAGCATGCGTGGGGGAGCAGGGTTTAACCATCTCGAGAACTGTAAATACATGTGGCTGGTCATGATCTCGCGTGATTCACCTTGCAACGTAGAGGTGCTGGGGTAGTAACTAGTCGGTTCTGGAGGTCCCACAGTCCAGAAGAGCAGCTCTGTGGTTAGTTTGATGTAAAGAAAATACGTGTTACAAATACATCTTAGTTCATAGAATCATAGAGCTGGAAGGGACCTCCGGAGGTCATCAGGTTCAGCCTCCTGCCCGAAAGAGGGCCAACCCCAAATAAATCATCCCAGCTAAGGCTTTGTCCAACCTCTAGGGATGGAGACTCCACCCCCTCCCTAGGGAACCCGGCCCAGCGCTTCCCCACCCGCCTAGGGAAAGTTTGTCCTAATATCCAACCCAGACCTCCCCTGCTGCAACTTGAGCCCATTGCTCCTTGTTCTGCCCCCACTGAGAACAGCCTCTCTGGAACCCCCCTGCAGGGAGTTGGAGGCTGCTCTCAAATCCCCCCCTCACTCTTCTCTCCTGCAGACTAAACGAACCCAAATCCCTTGGCCTCTGCGTATAGGCCCTATGCTCCAGTCCCCTCAGCATTTTGGTCGCCCTCCCCTGGACCCTCTCCAATAAAGGGGGAATAATGACATCTCTGGATCTGCTGGCAATGCTCCTCCTAATGCAGCCTAATATGCCATTAGCCTTCTTGGCTACAAGGGCTCCCTGTTGACTCATATCCAGCTTCTCATCCACTGGAATCCCCAGGGCCTTTTTTGCAGAACTGCTGCTTAGCCAGTCGGCTCCCAGCCTGCAACAATACTTGGAAGTCTTCCATCCCAAGGACAGGACTACTGCTAGTTAGCCATTCGGTCCCTAGCCTGGAACAATGCTTGGGATTCTTCTGTCCCAAGTTCAGGACTCTACACTTGTCCTTGTTGAACCTCATCAGATTTCTTTTGGTCCAATCCTCTAATCTTGTCTTGGTCACTCTGGACCTTACCTCTACCCTCCAACGTATCTACCTATCCCCCTACCTTAGTGTCATCTGCAAACTTGCTGAGAGGGCAATCCATCCCCTCCTCCAGGTCATTAATAAAGATGGTGAACCAATCCTTGGCGCACTCTGCTAGAAACCGACCTCCAACCTGACATTGAGCCATTAATCACTACCTGTTGGGTCTGACAGTCTAGCCTGCTTTCTACCCGTCTTAGTCCATTTATCCAATCCATACTTCCTTAACTTACTGACAAGAATATTGTGGGAGACCATATAAAAAGTTTTGCTAAAGTCAAGGTATATCACATCCACCGACTTTCCCATATCCCCAGAGCCAATTACCTCATCGTAGAAGCGAATCAGATTGGTCAGGCATGGCTTGCCCTTTGTGAATCCATGTTGGCTATTCCTGATCACTCCCCTTTTCCCAGTGCGTCAAAATGGATTCCTTGAGGATCCCCTCCATGATTTTTCCGGGGACTGAGGTAAGGCTGATTGGTCTGTAGTTCCCTGAATTGTCCTTCCCTTTTTTAAAGATGGGCACTACATTTGCCTCTTTCCAATCATCCGGGATCTCTCCTGATCTCCATGAGTTTTCAAAGATAATGGCCAAAGGCTCTTCAATGACATTTGCCAACTCCATCAGTACCTTTGGACGCATTAAATCTGGACCCATGGATTTGTGTATGTCTAACTTTTCTAAATAGTTCTTAACCTGTTCTTTCTCCACCGACAGCTTCCCACCTCCTTCCCATACTGTGTTGCCTAGTGCAGTAGTCTGGGACCTGACCTTGTCTGAAGACAGGCAAAAAAAGCATTGAGTACTTCAGCTTTTCCCACATTATCGGTCACTAGATTACTTCCCTCATCCACTAAAAGCTCCACACTTTCTCTGGTCACCCTCTTATTGCTTATTCCTTCTGTCTTGGTAGGAGCCATCAGGTATGCCTATTTGTTGGTGATAAAGTGCTTTAGAGAAAATACTGGAGGGTGAGCCAAGCAACTCTCAAATTTTGGCCGGGGAGAAGGAATTATTGGACTAAAAGCTTCTAAGGAAACATGTGCTGTCATCCAGCTGCTAGAATGGGTTTATTCTTTCTGGATGGAAAAGAAGACTCCCATTTATACACCTAAGTCATGGGGGGGGTGTCATTCCAAGATTTTGGAACACGGTCAAGGGCCGCACTCTTCCATGGCATTAATGGAGGATATGTGGGGTCTGGGATGTAGATTGGGTGCAGAAGGTAGCTTGGGGTATGGGATTGGGGTGCATGAGGGAGAGTGGAGTCTGGGAGGGAGTTTGGGTGAAGGAGGCAGTTATGACCTAGTGCAATGGTTTGGGATGTGACCTAGAGTAGAAGAGGATTGTGATCTGAGGCAAGGGAATAGGGTGCCAGATCTGGGAGGGGTTATGGGTGCAAGAGGTGTACAAAGGGTTTGGGTATATTAAGTGGGGTCAGAGAGGGACTGGGGTGCCAGAGGCAGGCTGTGCCCACGAGACTTACCAGCCAGCAGCCAAATCAGCCTGCTTGCTAGCATAGCTAAGTCTTGCAGAGCTTAAAATGTTTCTCAGTCTGCATGCTTGGTTGGCCATGTGCTTCAGTGAATTGCTGAGCCAAGGAAAGGGAGCGTAGTTCTTCTTGGCTGCCTGTTATTTACACAAGCTTTTCCCATTGGCTGATTTCTAGGCAGAAATTGGCCAGTGGAATTGTGCTGGAGGTGCAGCGGCTCCTGAAGTTTCTCCCCCTCTCCTCCAGTTTTGAATGAAAGGGAGCCTGGCAGCAAAGCTGTGGGTATGACAGGGAGCCTGCTCGGGGCTCCCTGCTGCCTCCGTGGGCTAGATCTGGTGGCTTGGTGGGCTGGATGCAGCCCGCGGGTCGTATTTTTCCCAGGCCTGATCTAAGTGATAAACAGCTAAACGAAGTGGAGCTACTATTTATTTTTTCCTTGAGTGATCTCAGTGAATGCAAATAATAATCACATATGTGTTGAGTGTGCCATATACTTGCAGGCTTGAGAGAGAGCTCTTCCCTAGATTGTTATAAAAAATAGGTAACTGAAAAAAGACAAGACAATATTTTCTTTTCAAATGATTTAAATCATTATATTTCTGTATCCGAGGTACTTTTGTTTCAGGTGTAGTAACATAAAGTTGGATGCCCAAGAAATATTTTTAGTAGTCCTTTTTTGAGACTGTTTTTATGAATTCCCTTTGATCTCATACATAGCACTGAAACCAAGGAATTGCGAAAAGTAAAACTTGTTTAAAAATAGATTTCTAGACCTTAAAACATCTGGTGTATTCATCCAAGTATTTTAAGTGATCAACAAGGCTGCACCCACCCACCACTGCCATGTTTTGCACCTACTTTTAGGCAGTGATGCAGCTGTGCAACAGAGCTAGCAGTGTAAGTATTATGGAGCTTTTCTGTTTTCTTGTTGCAACTCAAAACAGCGAAGCCCTGTCTATAGTATCAGTTAAAGTCCTAGTTCATGTTATGGACAATGAGTGAAAAATGCAGTGAAACAGAAAAAGCTTCTTATTGTTTCTTTCTTGGGTAGTTTATATATAACTCACTCTTTCAGGACAAGGATTTGCATTTTGGAGAAAGCAAAAGATCCAACAGGAATACAAGAAATTACTAAAAAAGGAAAGAAAGGCACATACTGAACGGGAAGTTAAATACACAGATACTTACCCAGACCACTTGAAGCATCTCTATTTGGCTGAAGAGGAACTACTTGAGAAACAGTCAAAAAATAAAAGAGCTCTACTTTTGTTGGGACAAAAATACAAAACAACAGTAAAGTAAGTATAATTCTAAACATTTTAAACTGATTTTCTTCCCATCATTCTTAAGTCATCTGATGCCACAGTTTAAGTCCTGTGGTTAGTTTGTTATCCTTAAGAAAAAGAATAAAAATTTAAAAATCTTAAGACAACAGCTTTGATTTATTTTATAAGAACCAAAGCACAAAACTGACAATAATTAAGGCTTGAGTTCTGAAATAATGAGAATTTTTCCATGGGACTACAATAGAAGGATTTGTCCCAGGGCGGAAATATTGATGCTGGGCCAAATTATTTCATTATTTCAGAATAATTTCTAGTTTCATCTTCAAATCTTGCTAAGCAAGATGTCTGCACAGATCTTGTAATGATAAAGGAATTTAAATTAAAACGACACTGATTGGTCTTAAGAGAATATTAGTTAAATTTCCGTTTATATTTTATACTGATTGTGAGTGCAGAAGACATTTTTCTGTCCTAATTTCCCTTAGGGATGAAAAAACTGCCTAAAGTAGTTAACTGGTTAAACAATTTGTTTAACTGATTGGCAGCAGCTAGTGCTGGGGAGGATGTTGGCAGCTGGGGCCAGCAGAGGGTGGCAGGGGCTGCTATGTGGTTGGGTAGGTATCCTGCCAGCCAGGCCACTGAGGGTAGACAGGCTGCTCTCACTGGCTGGGCCTTCTGGTTAACCGGTTACCCAGTAAGCACCAGGTAATCCTAGGGCTTACTGCAGGGCTACTCAACTTTGGAAGCCCTGGAGGCCACGTTGATACTGCGCATGCTGAGGGCCACAACTTAAGTTATACATGCAAATATATAGGCAAATAGCTTCTTTCACACTGACAGGCATGAACACAAAGATTAAAGCAAGACCACACAACACAAAGGCCTCATTTAAGTCAGTTCTGCTGATATTAATAAAATGAAATATTCAGGGCTTGCCGAACTGCAGCGAGCCCCGCTCGCCAGCTGCGCTGTCCTGCGATCTGCGCGGATCGCCCGAACCCGGCTCTTCCGGGTTGCAATCTACTTGCCACAGGCGAGTAGATTGCATTATTTGTCGAGCCCTGGAAATATTTACCCAATTTCCACCTATATGACAGCACTTTTAATGAGCAATGACAGTCTAGGAATTTAACTACAGGCAGTCCCCGGGTTACGTACAAGATAGGGACTGTAGGTTTGTTCTTAAGTTGAATCTGTATGTAAGTCGGAACTCGCGTCCAGATTCAGCCGCTGTTGAAACTGATCAGTTTCAGCAGCGGCTGAATCTGGACGCCAGTTCCGACTTACATACAGATTCAACTTAAGAAAAAA